CCAACTCAGACCCACTTGTGAAGTTTACCTGTCACATAAATACCCGAGGCGTCTGTCGACGGTACAGGTCTTTTTGGCTATCCCTAAGGGCACTGCTTCGATCATACAATTTAGCAGCGAGAATCTATTCGCTTTCGTGGTGGCTCAGAGATGGATAAAGTAATAGCAGACATATAAGGCGAAAGAATGACGATCTTCATAAGGCGTCGCCCAAGCAGACACAACAGGTGATTGAGCCTAGCTTGCGTTGTCACGGTAACTGAAAGTGCTATCAATCAGTTGTCAGTTTATTTGCTGGAGTTAACGGGTTAACAGCTCAACTGTCTGGTGGCCTCTCAGCAGCTCCTTTTAGTTAAGGATAAAAGCAGTCTAAAGCTGCGATGCTGTTTAACCGACATTCTACGGTCTGGACTGGAAGAGGGAACGAGTGGAAGCGAAATATAATGAGGCTAAACTCTCAAACTACAGGAAAGCAAAGGACAATGTTTGAGTCAAACTCCGGGACACAATTATCCTATTGTGTCTGTATGGCAAAGGAAGGAAGGAGAAACGAGGTCGACCAACTTTTAAGGGTGAATAAAGGAAACCGACCACACAAGCAAGAGGAATATCAGTCAAAGGGGATCATGGTCTCGGTTAACAAAACAACTATTAGAATTAATCTGCCCAATACATGGCGGCAGAAGGAAGAGCAACTTTGCGGTAGAAGAAAGAGCAACTGCGACTGCCAGAGCGAACAGAAAAATAATCCTAATGAGTTCAAGCCCACGGTTAAAGGAGCTACCTCGACATGAGTCTGTAATAATGCTCCAGAACAAAAGAAGAGTTAGGGAAATCCGTCTATTATGCACTAAGTGGAGTCGTTTGTAAAAATTCTTCATTCTTAATAGCTGAAACATATACAACACTTATTTCAAAGAAACTATGAGGGTCCAAAGTCATTTTATTTATTGCCTTCTTTTATAGGACAGCGTAAAAGATTTGAGAAGATATAATTCCATTTCTTTCTTCATACTTTCTAGCAGAGTTAGTATTATATTCGATAAAGCTTTTCGAGATCCATCTCAGCGTGAGTTTTTTTTATTTGCACAAAGAGTAAGGAAGTTGTTGCAATCAAACTAAACAATTTTCCTATTTTATAGATCCTTTATTTGCATTGATTACTACCTCAGGACGTCTTAACAGGCTTTCGCCTAAACTTTAAAGAAATTTAGGCCCTTATTTGTTTTATATTCTCATGAGATATATCTTTAGGCATTTTTTTATTGAACAGGCTTCCGGTCGCTTTTAACTTTAGTTGAGCGCACAAGTGCGCAAGCCGATTCAAAGCTGTGCTCTTTTAGGTCCAAGACAATAAATGCTATTCGGAGAGAGGCTATAAACTTGATGTACGCTTCAGTAGTCACATGACTGGCGTCTTTAGAAATAGGATGTGTAAAAATGATTGAATAATGTTGCTATGGCTTGTATCGTATAAAGAACGATATGATAAAACTTATCATTCTTGAAGCAGGTTGATTTCATCTAAGAATCCTTCCTTGCTCTGACGAGAGTTAGAGCTGAGCAAGACTTATAAGCACTCTTAGGCACCCTCCGAAGTTGGCGATTCGACTAAATTTCACTCGATGATTTTCCTGGAATATGAATGTGCTTATTTACAAAAGGTTTTCTCTATCATTTTTTGACTTTAGTCGCAATCCTGAGAACAAATTGGAGGGGTAACGTTGAAGGTAATTTCATATATACTCATAGACGCTAAAGTTTCTTGGATTTCAGGATTGAATAACAAAGGATGAATGATTTCAGGAAGGGATTATTTTAAAAGCTAAGAAAAAGAAAAATACTTTTACAATTTTCTTGGTTTAATACAAGTGTAAATATTTGAAATATTTACTCAAAGTGAATTACAAGTGGGAGCATCAAATTCTTTGAAGTGAATTATAAAAAATGTATTCCCTAAAGTTGATCCTTTATTGAAAACATACTTCAAAACTTTTAGACCACATATAGTGAATTAACTTAGGCTGCCTAGTTGGAGTTCCCACAGAGCAGTGAGGGAAAGCCCCGAGATACCGTTGCACTAAACTTAAATTTCTCACCAAAAAACCTTCACAACCTACCTCAAAATACTTAGCTAGATGGATATGATGTCTGAGAATGTACCAAGTCCATTTTCCGACGCTGGAACTCACAATGACTGCTATGGCAGAGGACGCTGGAGAAAACACTTTCTTAGAGGTCACCTTGGCACACACTAATTTGGAAATTATTCCTTTACATAATTAATCAAATTTCTAATCATAACATTTGAGAAAGGATGAGATGCAATACTAGATAACTTTAAAGGGCAAAAGGTTGCATACTTTTTATTTGATACTTATGAGTTTATAGCAGCTAAGAGTATAGATTAACAAAGAGAAAGACTGATAGGCAGGCGTATATATGTAGATGGATAGATAGCTCAAAACAGAGGGAAATGGTAAAAGTGTAAAAAATTAAAATAAAATTGCAAACTCTGACTATATGAAATAATGTGTAAGCACTTAGGCCTACAGTAATTGCTTTATGAGTAATTAAGCCAGATGGATGATTGCTCGAATATTCATGAAATTCACTCTAGCCTACCACATAGCTCAGATTAACTGGATCATGCTAAAAAAATTTTACATTTACTTAAATAACAATTTCGTTTTTAATAATAGGGCTGAAATTCCGTGGGCATCAAAATCCCTCTCAAGTGATCCTGCTTGGTAGAAATACTTTTCGAATTGGTCGTATCTTCCGGCTTACTTTAGGTGCTTGAGATAAGAGGCCGGAACTTCTAGTCTTAGAATTGGCTGGTTAAGGAACAATCGGAGGTTGGCCCATCTTGTAAAGTAAGCAAGATCCTTTTCGTCTAATTCTCAAGCCTCGGCTGCCGGCCGGCACTCGTAAGGGGTACCAGATGAGAAGCATTGCACCCATTCACTTAATGAATTGGTGGGCCCAGATGATAAAAATTTTGTTTAGGAATCTGTGTTCTGGAAAAACCAAACTGGAGATTTGCTGCGATGCTGTGGCTAGTCACCTAGCGAAACTGATCTCCCTCTTTTTGCTTTAGGGTGACTGTATTACAGAAGGTATAAAGAAAAATTGGGCTTCTATGATATCCTTAATAATTTAGATTACCTCACCTTTATTTATTTCGTAGAGAATCGGCCCTACCTTAACCAGAAGATAGATTGCCGCGGAGTGAAGGCTCTTGACGCGTGTGGATTGGCCTTCGACTCATCTTTCTTCGACATCGATGAACTCACTGCTGAGCTGTCGTCTGTAGTACCACAGACCGTATCCAGGCCAGATACCATCATTTATGAAAAAATAGCCAGTCGCAAACCAATAAACCGAACTTAATCTTTGCTTAGTTCTTTTTATTGAGGATTCTTTCGTAAATGATGGCCTGTTGCATTAGCGATACCTGTTACAGGAGAGATATAGGTTTAGCAATGTGTTCAAAGGTGTGGAAGGTAATGGACCCAACGACTACTTTGACAATCCAACAGTCTTCAATTCAAGGCGATCCTATTCCGGCATTGGCGAGGCCGATTCATAAACTCTCTTTCAAACGATTATTCTCTTAAAATGAAAATCAGAGTGAGATTATATGATCAGATGATCTTGGCATACTTTTAGCCTTTTATTTAGCTGCCCAGGGCGATTTCCTTCTGCAACAAGCATAAGATGTATAGATAAGCTGAAATTATCCTAGCTTGCTCTGAGAAAACATGCCAGACTGAGCCTTAGATACAAAGATTATAAACGATTTCACTTCGAGGTCGCAACTTGATCATGAGTCTCCAGAGTATTTGGAGAATACAACATGCTACGATTTCTCTGTCATTTATGTCGTGTTTTCTTCCAGAAGCAGATGTATGCGGCCGGTATGGTCGGTGAAAAGACGCATATTCAGCAAATAACCTCATATCTGAACATCTTGTCACTTTTGTCGACAAGAAGAATACACAATTGCATTGGCAGAGCAGTTAATATTTTATGTGTCCTACAAAGTAACCCAGCTAACGCCGTACCAAACGGAGTCCATGATTATGTAGCTTAGTTCTCTTCCTCCTAGGTTGACTGATCCCTGGTCATTGAAAACTTAAAAATTGCATAAAGCCCAGATCTAAAACAGGCTCTAAGGCCATAATCGACAGTATTTGACATCTGTCAAGAATAAGTTCATCGTGAACATGACAGTACTTTGTGTCCTTTTAAAACTACTTTCAAAAAGATACTTTTGTATTAATCCTTTTGCCACTCATTTTTCTCCCTTTAAGTTACTCTTTCTTACAACATTGCCTCGATCTATGCCTCATGCCCCGCCTTCACTCTCCTTCTCTGTTCTTTATACAAGTTCTCCTTGTTCATCACTATTGACCAATCCTACCTCTTCTCCTTCCTCATTCAAATTGTCTCCCTTTCTGACAGAAGAGATACGTGCTCTGGCTCAGCTTGAGGACCTGATCGGCCTGAACGTTGACCTGCTTCTCGTCACCTTCCCCATTTTTCTTGGAGTCATCCTCACATACGTTGTTGGTATGACGACCACTTGGGCAGTCGGCGCTTCTGTCGGTAGCGTGGGCATATTTCTTCAGGCACTTTCTCTGAGTGAGTCTGAGTAACTTTATGTAGGCCTGTTAAGGCCAAGGACAGTCTGAAATAGTTTTAGTTTTAGGTAGAATCTTAGGAACCGCTCATCCGTCGGTGTCTGGGAATCCCTAAACACTGTCATTCGCCCAGATTGGCCACATTTTTCAACGGGCCTCAGGCTTGTTTCTGTCAATTTGGCAGATAGTATGGCACAAAAGTGGACACAAAAGTGAAATGAAACATAAATCGGCACATTACCTGCCTCCCTACGGAGGCCAATAGAGTAAGGATTTTCGCCGAGTACAAAGTACACCTGTTCACAAAAAAGTTTATGATAGACGAGGAGATAGTTTGTATAGATAAATTTAGTTGGTCTTAAAATTGTATTTTTATCGAAAAGTTATAGTTACATTCCTGCAACCTGACAGTATTATACTGGAACATGGCGAAATAGCCTCTTGGATAGAAGATTCTTTTAAATTGTTGTTGTTTAGCTCACTTCCATTTGTAATGGAAGGATGTGAGTAGGAGATTTGATGGCCGTTCCTTGCGGCAAATTGTCCCCAAGCTAATCTCTCTCAATTCCGATAAAAACACGCCGAGCTTTCTTTCGTCATATGATGGGCATTATCATCAAGCATAAAACTAATTCATCCTAAAAAATCAGAAAAATTAATATGCTTATGCCTACATTTTGTATATCAGTAGATATATATATATATTCCCTAAACCTATGCAGTTTAATGAGGTATAGAGGGATTTGGTTAGTCCACCGACTATTTTAATCTAAAAGCATATCGTTTTGCTTATGTGAATTCATGTGTGCGTTAGGGTAGGAAGCCAGGAGAGATAGCTTTAAGTAATTGGTCAGATTGGGAATTCCGTCCTTGACCAACCGGACTAAGTAAACTTTTGTTTGGCCATCTTTCCAAATGAATAATTGCAAACCCACTTATGATTAAGTTGTGGAGCCTTTTCTATGTAAACCCAGCATGATTTAACCAAAATCGAATAAAATTGCCTAAGGAACAATATCCACAAGAAGACTCAAAAAAAGCCAAAATGCAGTTTGCCGAAAAGAATCCGCTGTAGACCCTCAAACCTCTGTATCACAAACTTCCACTTGCCAAACAACCTGTCCTTAAATACGTATATTTCAAAAGTACCTCGTTGCTTTTGACAAGGTTCTATGGGGAAGGAATTCATATGCGGCGAAATAGCCCAATTAAGCAAAAGTCGAGAAAATTGAATTGGCGATTCTCCTTGATTTCGTCTCCTAACAATTAATTATAAACTATAACTGGTAACTTCTTATTCGCCGCTCTGCTCTTGAATTCAATTCATCCAAGTGTGGCCTAGATATAATCTGAAACGGCGTGGTAAATGACCAAAGGATGGGGGCTGGGTGTGAAGGAATCAAGGCTTAGCAATCAGAGACAAGTGCATGTCCTTTATTATGCCTCGGTCAATTTGAAAATTTAGGCAATACCGTGGCTTTTATACGAAGAGACC